TGAACTATTGTACGAAATCCCGATTTAGTCCCTGAACTATTGTACGAAATCCCGATTTAGTCCCTGAACTATTGTACGAAATCCCGATTTAGTCCTTACTGTTTACCAATTTGCCCCAAATTAATCATTTCATACAAAAAAAAGTTGATATGTCTAGTATTCAATGACGAAAAACAATAACTTAATGGCATAAAACAATAACGAGACACGTCAACTATTTTTATATAGAAGGACCAACTTAGGGCAAATTGGTAAATAGTAAGGACCAAATTGGGGATCTGTACAATAGTTCAGGGATCAAATTAGGGATTTTTTTAGTTCATGAACCAAATTTGAGGTTAGTACAATAGTCTAGGGACCAAGTTGGGCATTTAACCTATTATATATTGTGCTTCTATTTTATTTTACTAGAGCAATGTCATGGCAATTTTATATATATACTAATATTAAGTTGCAATTGTACATGGGTTGAGTACCATTTGCTCTCATTAATAAAATTATTTTTGATTGTTAAAAAAAGAAATTAGAAACAAAATAACATCATAAAATAAATGAGCTAATACTTAGTCTTCACTACCAAGTGAAAACTCTTTTAGAATAAGAAAACTATAGCAAGAATTCCTTGGACCTACATCAACAAAAACAAATTAACTCAATTATATAAATAAGAAAAGATAAATCAAGAACTTTCTAAAAGATAAGTCAAATGGAAGGTGTTAAGAATTTAAGTTTCTTACCTATGCTAATTTATGGAAAACTTTTTAAAATACAATGTTAGTTATTTCGTTTGAAGTTGGACCTCAATTGATTAAGTTCAAAAGTTTCAACCCTTGTTTACTCCTTAACTCTTGATAGAGCCACATACAATTTGCTCATGACTAAAGTAAAGTCTTAGAAGATATATTCCAACACAAGAGAGAGTTTGCCCTTGACTTCTATTTATAGTAATAGCAAAACATATAATTAGAGGAAATTACTTTTGTTGAAAGGTAATTGACAATGAGTGATTTGAAGGTGTCATGATTTCAAGGGATCAGGACAATATGGCCTATGTTGTTACTTGAAAGAATCTTAGCCTTAATAACATGGTTCCTATTTTTGTAATAAGCAATCTCATTCATTATAAAAACCATTAGATTAATCAATATTCCTTAATAACATAATTGACACCTCAACTTTAAAGTTGAGTTTATGATTTAAAAGTCCAAAACCTATGAATATATTCAATACATTACAAGAATAAGTCTCTTAATTATTTTGAAAGTTGATATCATCCTTGCAAATAAAGTATGAACTTAAATTCCTTTTTCACTGAAAATGAAAGACATTAGATAATTATTCAACATTGCAATGTTATCAAGAGTTAGAGACAAAATAACATGTTCTTAGAAAATCTCAAGACCATTTGTTTCAATTTTTTCTAAGAAGTTTGGATATATAAAGTCTACCATATCAACAAACTTGTTTTGTAAGTCTTAAATTCACATTTCACTTGGAATTTCAATGATTACCTTACCATCAACATCCTCTCCAACTTCTGCATTACCAATCATCAATAACTAATCAGAAAATTCTCTCAAATCAATTAGATTTTGGTTTGAAGAATTTGACTGCAACCTCATGTTTCTTGGTAAAGTTAAAATTTTACAAGAATCCTATGATTCTAAAGAATTTCTTGTTACATTCACTATCTCTTGTCTTTCACCATAAGGCACAATTGGTAGTATTTGTTTAAATCACTTCCAAAGACAATAATTATCCTTCCAAATGGTAATTTAGAACTATTACTAGTTTAGAACTTGAAAATATTTGTTATGGTTTTGTCTAATGTTTCAATACAAAATTTCTGTCATTGGAGTTTTATCCCATATGATCAATCTTGTCTTTGACAATAATTCAACTTGAGGAAATTCTATTTTGATGTGGCAAGTCAACTTTTCATTTATTTCAATTAGAGTTATAGATCTAGAATGAGTTATTCTTCCCCTAAGAAGTGAAAGGGCTACAATACCACTAGAAGCAACATTAAGTACAATTTTTTCTTCCTAATCAAATGGCTGTAAACAAAGTTTTCCAAATAAAAGTCTTTCCAATTCCCCTCAATCCATATAAAAAGAGTAGGCCTCCTTTATCATCAAAAGCTACAATTAATATCATATCATAAATATTTCATTGTTTAGCAATAAGGCAAGACAAATACTCTCCATGCTACTCTATTAATGAAGCTCTATCATAAGATAATTCATCTAGAGCCAACTTGTTTTGAACATTAGACAATAAAACTCTAGTTAGAACATGCATATTACAATAATTTTAAGACTTCTTCTATCGCTTTGGAGGATTCTTTCAACTTCAACAAAGGCATTATTTTTTATCTTTTCATCACTCATCATCATGTCTAAATTGATTAATTGATGCATGTAAACATAAAGCAATTAATAAATTAGAATACTAATAGTGTACATAAATTTATTGATAATTATATAAATTAAAAATATTTACCATCACAATGATATTAAATGCAATTCAAATAATAATAAAAAAAATTAATGTAAGACATCAAATATGATTACAAATAT